AAACTTCCAGTGTTGGAGCATTCACCGCTTCTGGAGGCAGGTTGTTCCACTGGTTAATTGTTCTCACTGTCAGGAAGTTTCTCCTTAGTTCTAGGTTGCTTCTCTCCTTGGTTAGTTTCCATCCGTTGCTTCTTGTCCTGCCTTCAGGCGCTTTGGAGAATAGCTTGACTCCCTCTTCTTTGGGGCAGCCCCTGAGATATTGGAACACTTCTATCATGTCCCCCCTCGTCCTTCTCTTCGTTAAACTAGACATACCCAATTCCAGCAGCTGTTCCTTATATGTTTTAGCCTCCAGTCCCCTAATCATCTTTGTTGCTCTTCTCATTTTATTTGATACCTTCGTGTGTATTTTTTTTTAATCACTTTCTGCCTTGTTCACATTACTGTTGCTTTTTCTTTCCTTCGGCGTCTTTAAACGGCTGGGGCAATTTCCATTTAGTCCCGTCTCTAGGGGATAATGGATAGTGCCGAGAAAAGCAACTGGGGTGTAATATTTAGTATTTATTCCTGGTCTCATGCTGGTAGCAAATTAGTTTGCCAGACTTCATCGTATGTCCTCAGCAGGCACATATGTAATTAAAAGGAATGCGCGTGGAGTTCATAGTAGCACAAAGCTTTCCCAGCTGTAAAAAGTCCATATGCTCCGTTGGGAACGCAGACCAGGGCAATGTAATTACGGCAAGGCTAAATACGTGTAGGGGTTTTGTGTGTGTGTGTATGTGTGTGTTTTAAAAATGATTTTCTAATCTGAAGCAAAGTCAACTCTTCTCGTACTGAGTTTTTTGGGGGGAAATGAAAGTATCAGATTCTGGGGTTTGAGTTCTTCTTTCTTCTCCCGTTCGTTAAGTGATGAGAAATTTTGGGATGAATGTTTGATGAGATTGAACTTTAGAGCTGCAAGAGACCATTGGCAAACAGGAAGACAGATTCTGGCGTAGTTTTGGAGATGTGTAAATTTTGGTTCCTGTTATCATGCTGGTCAAGAATCACCCTGATGACATTTCATAATTATTTTAAAAATTAAAAGCATACGGGACGAGAGGGGGGCAATTTTGAATTTCAGAATTGGTCCAGTTGGCTGCCAAGGTAGAAGGGAGACACGGTTGAAAATTATCCTGCCTGTTCTGTTCTGTTCTGTTCTGTTCTGTTCTGTTCTGTTCTGTTCTGTTCTGTTCTGTTCTGTTCTATTCTATTCTGTTCTATTCTATTCCTATTCTATTCCTATTCTATTCTATTCGATTCGATTCTATTCTCCATTGCATCTATTCTATTCTATTCTATTCTATTCTATTCTATTCTATTCTATTCTATTCTATTCTATTCTATTCTATTCTATTCTCCATTGCATCTATTCTATTCTATTCTATTCTATTCTATTCTATTCTATTCTATTCTATTCTATTCTATTCTATTCTATTCTATTCTATTCTATTCTATTCCAACTCTATTCCTATTCTATTCTATTCCATTCTATTCCTATTCTATTCTATTCTATTCTATTCTATTCCAACTCCTATTCTATTCTATTCTATTCTGTTCTATTCTATTCTATTCTATTCTATTCTATTATATTCTATTTGTAATTCAGGATTGAAATAGAAATAGCAATAGTACTTAGACGTATATACCACTTCAGTATTTTACAGCCCTTTCTAAGCGGTCTATAATGTTAGGATATATGAGGGGTCCTTGATGTTTAGACCCTGATGGTGTTACCTGATTGGGTAATGAAATGACTGCAAGAAAACAACCAAGCTCAGAGAGCACCAAGGACCCCTCATTTCTCATACCTCTTTTTCCAAATCTTAAAATACACAATCAAAATGATACCGAAATGATAAGCGTTGCTAGCTGGAGAATTTTGGGAGTTGAAGTCCACACATCGTAAAGTTGCCAAGGTTGAGAAACACTGAAAAGATCTGGAGGGCCAAAATTGTCCATCTTTACATAACGGACTGTGGGAATAACCTTGGGAGAAGGAGGAAGAGCTGCAGCTAAGAAAACAATCAGATGAGCTATTTCAGAAAGAATGAGGACAGGAAAGAGGATCTCAGAAGGAGCCCTCCCTAATTCCCTAGAAAGTAAAAGCGAGGAAGTGCTTGCAAAACCCTGTAACTGTAACCTTGCAATAAATGGAGTGTTGGGTGTTGATAGCTTTGGTTTCCTGTCGGGACTTGCTCAAAGGACTGACACTTTAGAGAAGACAGATGGCTGCATAGACCTTAAAAAGCAGCCCTTGGTCCTGATGGATCTACAGGCCTTTTGTAAATCAATGTGAGAACTTCCTTGAAAGACTTCCTTAAAAGGATTGCCATCTGGTTAAAGAAATCCCAAGTCTGTGAAAGTGTATTAATGGAATCTGAATACATTTGCATATGAATATCAGCAGCTTTTGACACGAGCGAGAAGAAGATCACGGTGTGGTCTTTCGGGCGCTTGCCTGCCTTATGGCGTAGCAAGCTGTAGCATCCTGATACACAGGTAGGAGCAAGCCTCCTTCAATCAAGAGGTTGTCCCCATCTGTTGGGAATACATCCTGAGAATTTCCAAGCCAGATGGGCTCGTGAAATTCCACAGTTCTGAACCATTATAAGAAATCGAAATTACAGCTAAAGCTTCTCATCACGGCCTGAAGCTCCATTATTATTGATGAGTAGGTCCATCAAGATGGGTCCTGGTTGAAGAGTAGAACAAGAGAGCTTTGATAGTTAAATCTTCTCATCATGGCTTGAAGCTCGATTATTATTGATGGGTAGTCCATCAAGACGGGTCCTGGTTGAGTAGAACAAGAAAGCTTTGATAGTTAAATCTTCTCATCACGGCTTGAAGCTCCGTTATTCTTGATGGGTAAGTCCATCAAGACAGGTCCTGGTTGAAGAGTAGAACAAGAGAGCTTTGAGAGTTAAATCTTCTCATCATGGCTTGAAGCTCCGTTATTCTTGATGGGTAAGTCCATCAAGACAGGTCCTGGTTGAAGAGTAGAACAAGAGAGCTTTGAGAGTTAAATCTTCTCATCACGGCTTGAAGCTCCGTTATTCTTGATGGGTAAGTCCATCAAGACAGGTCCTGGTTGAAGAGTAGAACAAGAGAGCTTTGATAGTTAAATTTTCTCATCATGACTTGAAGCTCCGTTATTATGGGAGATGGGTAGATCCATCAAGATGGTCCTGGTTGAAGAGTAGAACAAGAGAGCTTTGAGAGTTAAATCTTCTCATCATGGTTTGAAGCTCCGTTATTATTGATGGGTAGGTCCATCAAGATGGGTCTTGGTTGAAGAGTAGAACAAGAGAGCTTTGGCTAGACCTGCTTCCTTCACACAGGGTGGAAAGTCTTCCTTAAGGAAGCCATTTCAAAGAGGAAAGCTTGATTCAAAATTTTGCAAGACCTAGTTTCTGATTTGAAGTCCTTAAAATCCAACTTCAGCCTTCCACCCTACCTGCTGTCAGTTTTCAGTAAATAAAAGAACAATTGCATGTGGATGTGGGTCAATTAACCTATAAAAACAAGAGATTATTATTATTATTTTTTAAAAATGGTAATATTGTTCACAGGTCCACCGTCTTGGTGTTTTCAGCTTAGAAAGTCGTAGTAGGAGATAATGATAAGAAGACTCCCTCTGACCCCATCTATAGCTTTGCCTGCGGCTTAGCCAGGGTTTAAGGTTCATCCCTAGCTTAAAGAGACAAATAATGACTTCACGCTAAATACAGGTAGTCCTTCACTTACGAACAGCCACTTAGCGATCATCCGAAGATGCAACTTCCATGTGAAAAGAGAGTTTCAACCCAGTTCTGTTAGTTGCACCCGTTATGGGATCACCTGACCAGGATTTGGGCACTCGGCAATATGGCTGCATTTATATGGTCACATGACTACAATTTGGCCCAAATCCTGGAGGTTACATCCAGTTTTTGGCAAAACTCCACTGTAGGGTTCGCTTAACACGTGACTATAATAGGCCAGCTTCCTTATACTTGTCTGTTGAGAACTACCTATAGTTCCTTGTGTCATTTTAAGGAAAAGCATCTCCCTCCAGATTGTCAGAAAAAGTGGGCAGCTTTGGTGGAAGCTAGGGCCAATCCATAATGCCACCTGTGGAATATTGCATTCAGTTTTGGTCACTATGATATCAAAAAAAGATGTTGAGATTCTGGAAAGAGAGCAGAGAAGAGCAGCAAAGATGATTAGTGGGCTGGAGGCAAAATATACGAAGAACGGTTGCAGGAATTGGGCATGTCTAGTCTAATGAAAAGAAGGACCAGGAGAGACATGATAGCAGTGTTCCAATATCTCAGGGGCTGCCACAAAGAAGAGGGAGTCAAGCTATTCTCCAAAGCGCCTG